TTGCTACATATCACAGGTTGCTTGGGTGAATAGCAGAGATGTTACTAATAAGAATATTTCATTCTTCCTGTGTATCGCTAATGATTTAGCAGATACCACAAGTACTCTGGTTTTCCTACATACAGGTTTTCATAATTAACTACATCCAACTTTTGACTGTTACATAGTCAGTTTTAAAAGTAGATCATACTCAGCTAACATGAAAAGATGTATTTCTCCAATTATTTCAGTAAGTTAGCAGCTACTACAAAGTAAACCTTTCTACCACAGCTATAAGCAATCTTCTTTATTTTCCTTATTTATTTATTTTTAATTAAATAATTTCAGGTAAGTATTGAGACATGAACAATATTATTAATAACTAAAAAAGAAAAGGGTATGCAAGAGTTTAGACCCTCAGATAAGAGTATTTCCTCTGTATTATATTAAAAAGTTTCAAATATAAACGGGAAGACACAAAAATTTATTTGTACAAGAGCTGCTCTGAAATAACACCTCCCATTTTATTAAGTTGGTCCACAGTGTCAGAGGTGGATGTTGGTGGCGTGGCAGTAGAGGTTGAACCTTCTCACCAATATCCCATTGCATTTTGTTGTCACACAACAGATGGCAGCTGAGGGGCAGCGTATGGGAACTGACGAATCACAGCCTGAACCTCTGATTTACCACCTGAGGCAAGCACTGAGTCAGCCCTGGGAGCACAGATGAAGGCAATTCACCTGTGCTACTGGAAGGGGTGGAGCCTGGCTCCACCTCTCCTAGACCCATTTAAGAGCTGGCTACCAGTGGGAAAGGTTCACTTTTGGGGATTGTTCCTCTTGGGGTCTTCTTAGTGAGCCTAAGACAAGGGTAAGCTTTCTATCCATTCTTCTTTGGTGTGGTTACCTGTTTAGCCTAACTTTCCTGTATATTTCTTAATTATAGCATCTGTGTATTTACTGATTATACAGACAAAATAGCACCTGACATGGAAGTGCATATGAAGCAAAGTTGTGAACAATTGCACCCACTGACATTCACTGATGCCTGATGAACACTTGCAGAGACCAAAAGTTAAGTCAGCACAGCAAAGTGGTAGGTGGTGCCTTTCAGTACTGGTGACAGCAACAGTGTGTCACCTCCACTGGTGCAGGTTTTTACAACTGCAGCATGTAGGCTCTTGTTTATTGCTAATAATTATGCTGGTAAGTATGTTAAAAAGTGTTTTGTAGTTGAGAATTTGGTCTATCAAATGGTGGTACTGTGCTCCTTATATGTATGGTAGTTTCTGTGGAAGCAAATAGGAGTCATTACTTTTGGAACGACGTTCCAGGTCCTTTTCAGACCAGCTGCTCTGAAAGTATATTAGCAGAAGACCATTCTGAGAGAAACTAGAACAACCCCCCCACTTCCCTTCCTAACTCAGCAGCCATTAATTTTCCTCCCTTACTGTGGCTGCGTAGGAAGACCTTGAATATGCCAACAGGCTCTGAATAATTTTTTTGTACTTGGCAGCTGATTTAACCTGAAATTGATGACTCATCACCAGTTGATGGGTTTGTCCACCATGAAAGGAAACATCATAATGTCAGTAGCTGATAAAACAACTCAGCAAGGTGAAAAGGCAAACAGATCTTACACAAAGGCCTACAAAGCAGCCAACAGAAAGTTGACTACCCTGAATGTAGTGTCCCATTTCTGTAACTTATGACAGTTAGCAATGGTAGAGCTAGAGCTTCAGAAATTTGATAGTTTTACTTGGACATCTGTTATCGGTGACGTGGGTGCAAGCATTAACAGCCGTAGCAACTTGCAGCCACACCAGTTTTTCATGATGAACAAAGCTTCTCTCTTTTTGAGGAAACTTAGATGGAACCTGAGCAAAACAGCATAATAAGCAATGCAATAATTAAGTCTCCAAGTAAGATATTATTACTGTGTAGCTTTGGAATTAACCCAGTGACAAATGAGTTTGAGTAGAATCCAAAATGATATTTCATCAAAAGCCCTAAGCTCAATTGGTGAGAGCAGAGTCAGACATAGCAAGTTTGGTTACTTGTGGGTGATAGACACTAAAACAAGTTTTAGGGAAGACTAAAGACACACTGGACCATAGGTAAAATTAGAGTCAAAAGGTAAGAGCTCTATTTGTAGGTTGTGGAACAACTGAGCTACAAACTAACATAGAAGCATCTTCTATCTTCTGTCTCTGTATTAAATCTAACCCAATCTCATCTCTAAGGTCTGAAACCCTACTGCTCATGATGTATTTTTTTTTTTACCATTTGTCTACTGCACTCCAAAAAGTGCAAGTTACATAAACATTTGTGCAAATACATTACTGTATGTTTTTACAAAGTGGTGTAAGCACTCTTACTTTATTTACAGCTTTCAAGCGTTCCTGCTCTTGGACTCCTTCATTACACGTGAGAGAAGAAATGGCTGAGAATATCAGTTGTTTACATGGCTTCCTTTCTGGCAACTCAAGAAATGGGAGTTCCCCCATTCCTGATCATGCCAAACATACAGGCTGACATCAAAAACATTAGTAGCTGGGGATAACATTTAGGTGATGAATAGATCAGGACAAGTAGTCTCTCCGTAATGACTTAAAAGCTGCTGTAGCTGACTCTCAAGCAGCAAGGAAAAAGGAGATAGAGGTGAAATGGTTATATGTTGACAGGGTGAATAACCAAGAATGACCAGAAAAAAGTTAACATTCCTATTTTCACAAGACATTTGGCGATATGCCTTCCAATGGCATCATAGCTTTGCTTTTGACGCCTATCCTTCCAATGACCTAATGTGTGGATATGGTGAATATTTGAAGGTAATGTGCCACATTCTGGACTTCCATTCCTCAGTTGAATGACTAATTTGTATGTTCTCAGAACTAAACAGTTTGTGGGGTGCCCTGCAGTTCATCATAGTTTTCAATGCACTTTGAATTTGTTGGAAAAAAGGCTTCAAAAGTATAGAAGCATGAAAATGGCAGGTACCTCTGCAGAACATCTGGTCCAATTCCTGCCCAGAGCAGGGTCTTGAGCTACAGCAGGTTGCTTGAGGCTTTATGCAGCTCTGTTCTGAGCATCTCCGAATTTACCAGTTCAATCAACTTTAAGGTATGTTTTTTTTTTCTTCTCGTATTCCAATTTGTGCCACTGCCTCTCCCTCTGACACTGAACACCAATGAGTAACATTGGCGATGCTGTCTTCACTCCCCTCATGAGGTATTTATGCACAGGTAAAATCCTCCTGAGCCTTCTTTCTTCAGCCTGAACGGTTCCAGCTCTTTCAGCCTCTTCTCCTGTATCAAATGCTCCAGTACCTTAACCACTCTAGTAGCTTGGCTTCTATGAAATATTGTACAATAAAGGCCATTAGAGGCAAATCCCAGCCATGGAACTTACCAATGCACATGTGAAAAACAAATAGTTTGACCTTTTTAAAAAATGTCTATATGAGATCTGACTTGCTATTGATTATGAATCAGTGAACATCTTTTTCTACTCCTGCCTTCCATCCTAACAAGGATATTATATTTATATCAGACTTATGGTGAAGACTAACAATTCTTTTAAAGGTAAATATTTTAGAAACCTGTCCTGCAATACAAGGTTGTGCTGATTCTATGAAAGCTTAACTAACTGGGGTGATGTGAACCAAACTAAATGTGTTTTTGAAGCATAGTGACTTCTCCTCTGTTAATGGTACCATGGTCAGAGTACACACTTGCCATGTAAGAATTTCACAAGCAATCCCAAATTACTTTCAAAGCCTGTGTGTTAGGACAGGAAACACTAGAGCACAAAAGTACACCTGAGTCAATGCTGAGCCCAAAACATAAACATGCCCAACATAAACACTGTGTGTGTGCTGCTCATGTCCAGATAAGTAATGCTTGCATCAGTTGATAAGTGTGACAGTCAGTTTACTTCTAGTTTACTTCCATGGTAAGAATAGCACAAGAAGCAGTCTCCTCCAGCCCTGATCACATAATTACATGAATTTAACTCTTTGTTGCCATAAGGCTGCTTGTGGTATGTAATTTCTGATAGCTTGAACACTCTAGGCTGCATCTCTCATGGATCAACAGTGACTGTTTTCTTTGAAAATAAAAGAAAATCTGATCAACTTCTAGAACAAAGAGCATAAAACACTGCCAGCCAAACACCGTTTATGACAGAACATTCCTCCAAATGTTCTGCAGTCTATGAAAGGAGACCCCTTCTCTAATCTTCTCCCATTTCTGTCTCCTCGTGTGAGCAGCGCTGGGTCGAGGCACCGTGGCTGCCTTTTACATAGGTGCCAGTAGCCCTGGGGGTAGCACCGTTCTCAGTGGGTGCAGGAGCTGCTTTCCCCACTGAAATCTGGGGCCCCTCTGCTTAATTGTTATTACTGTTAGTAATACCTGTGGGGTGCAACCGCACCCGGTGACACAAGGCCGCCCGAGGCCCCCTAACACCCGTTTCTCCATCTCTGCACCCCGAAATCCCCCCATGTCCGCACTCCGGGACGCCTCGGTCAGGCCGGCGGCAGAGCGGGGCCCGCCGGGCAGCATCACAACAAGGCCGGGCCGCGGGCCTGCACCGCGGGATAGCGGCCTTAGGGCGGGGGAGGCTCCAGTATGGAGGGGCCGGGCCGGGAAGGGGTCCCCGGGACCGCCGCTCCGCTCCAGGGGAGCACGCAGAGCCCCGAGCGGCGCTTGGCGGCCGAGCAGCGGCGGAGGCGGCGGCAGGAGGAGCCGCGGAGAGCCGAGCGCCGCCGCGCCGCGCCTCCCCCTCCCGCCGCCGCTGCCGCCACCGCCGCCGCCGCCACCCTTTCCCGCGCCGCACCCGGCACAGGCCCCGGCCCCGGCGGGCGGCTGGCCCGAGGCGGCGGGCAGCGGCGGCGACGCGTTCCCTTCCGCCTTTTCCTGGGTCTCTCTCGGGCAGTGACGTGACGTGCTGACGGCGGGCCCGGCCCGGGGAGCTTGGCCGCTTCCACTCAGCTCCGAGCTCGGCCCCTCCCTCCCCTCCCGCCCGCCCGCCCGCCCCGCCGCAGCCGCCGCCGCGCTCGGCCCAGTCGCGCTGAGAGAGGCCGCGCCGAGCCGAGCGCCGCCGCCCGTCACCCGCACGGTAAGCAGCCCGGGAGCGGGCCCCGCCGCCCGGCCCGGCCCGGGCCTTTCCCTGCCCGCAGCAGGCCGCGGCGCAGGCCCCGAGGAGGCCGCAGGTAGGCCGCGCCAGGGCTCCGTCACCAGAGCGGGCCGCAGGGCTCGGGCCGGCGTTTTCCGCGCGCCCGGGGCGGCCCTGAGCGGCGGGGACGGCGGCGGGAGGGGGGCGGGAGCGGAGGGGGGCGGTTGCGGGCCAGGGGGGAGGCGGGCGAGGTCGGTGCCAGGCCCCGGGCCCGGCCGAAGGGGGTTCGGAGAGTGTGTGGAGGAGGAGACAAAATGGCGGCGCGCGGGGGGGGGGTGGCGGAGGGCGCCGGGCGCCATCTTGAATTAATCGCTCGCCATAGCCGTGCCTAAGCGCAGCCCGGCCGGGCCGGAGGGGGGAGCCCCTGGCCCCGCTCTGCGCGGCGCCGGGCCGCAGGCTCCGCAGAGGGACAGCCTGCCCACTCCGTCGCTCCCCCGCCTCTCCCTCCTCCCCGCCTGGCAGCCGGCGAGTCGCGGGGGAGCTCGGCGCTTTCCGGCCCGCGATAGCTTCCTGCGCTGCGGCGCCGGGGCTGCTAGCCCATCTCACCCCCCTGCCCGCGGCCTGGGCCGGGCGGGTTTTTGCGCAGTCGGCGCGGCGGTGGGAGGTTTGCCCTCAGCGTCCTGCCCCGCCGCCAGCGAGGACCCAGGTGAGGAGGCGCAGTGTTCCCGGCCCTCTGGGCCCCCCTCGGTTGTGGCCTCTTCTCCTCCAAGCTGACCGACCCCTCTGCTGTAGAGGTCTCCAGCACAGTGGAAAGTAGTTTCTGAGGGACGCCCAGCACTGGTTATATCTTTAATGTAGGTTTCGTTGAGCGTTAGCTTAGATGTCGCCTGGTGCTCAACAGCTCTGTGAAATCTGGAGAAGGCCTCTTTTGTAACCAGTTTCTGCAAATACTCACACCCTTGAACTACAACAAAGAGGAAAAGACTTATTTTTTGTTTTGTTTTGTTGTTTTTTGTTTCCTTTTTTACCATACTACAATGAAAACAGCAGTGCTGATACTCCTGCTAAAACTGAGGGAGATGCATAAAGAAATAAACAGCAAAATGATTACACTGTCACCTTTGTAACATTGTTTTTATTCCATTTATTCACCCAGTAATGGTGGGGGTTATATCCAAGATAAGGATTAGGTGCTGCAGGAGTCTCATTTTTAACCTTTCGTGTGTGTGATTGAGAGCATGTGTGCACATGGCATTCTCTGTAAATGGGTCACGTAGGGAGTTAAGACACTGTAATAGTGGTGTAGGCTGAACCCATGGTGGTCTCATGCCACCACGAAGCTTCAGACAGCAAAGGGCTCCAATCCAATTGGAATGTATGAGGCATGCTGTTTTTTTAATGTGATGTAGCAAGGCATGATGGGGACGTGGTTGTGGTTGTACTCAAGTATTTTTAGTGTGGGCTGGGGCTATTGGACAAGAATGGGAAATTTTGCTGTTCTTTGCTTTATTCTAGGATGAGTGAGAGTTTCACTGTGTGGTATTTGGTTCTTTTTGCCTCTCGTTCTGGATGAACAGATAAACTGTTCTTTCCTTAGGAGTACACAGAAGAGTAGTTTGTGTATTTCTTTATCCTAAGGATGGCTTTTCTAAGGTCTTCCTCCTTTTTTTTTTTCCTTTACTTCCCCACTCCCTCTTTTTTTAGCTCAAATACTGACCACTTCTGTTGCATATAGTAATTTCCTTTTAAGTAACTCTATTTTTTGCTCTCTCTCTTGATAGCTTGGTCATTTTTTCTTAGTTCATCTTGATTACATTGCTAGGCCTATTAAGTCAGGGATTTGTTTGTGGCATAACTATTTCATGTCTGCATTTCTTTTCTTGACTGATTGTATTCAGGGAGGAGTTTTATGGAAAAGGCTGTATTTTGCTTGTGGAGTTTACTTTATTGCTTAATAGCATTCATTCCACAAATATGTGTATTACTATTTGTCCTTTCACTTGAAAATATTGCCTTCATAAAACCAAAACCAGGCAAGTCTCTGAATAAATATGTAAAAGTCATCTTGTAAGAACTGCCTTTACAGGTCGAATTAGAAGTTTTTTAGGGTTGTATTAGTTCTAAATGTACATAACGATAGACTCAAAACAAGTAAAAGATGTATGTGTTTAGTTCTTTGTAGAGATGGATACCCATTGCTAAGGTACCTGGGCTTTTCCCATTCTAGTTAGAAGAGCAGTTCCCAAATTACTGGGCTTTGGGCAAAGAACCATATAGATTCAGACACTGAGAAGGACTAAGTATTCTCTTTCTGGGCACCTGCTTCTCTTCAAGAGTTTTGGTTCCCACACCAGAACTGGAAATCCTTCTCTCTGCTTCATTGCCAGAACCTGCTCCTGAGGTAAGTGTTGTTGGAATATTTTGAAGAGCTGAGAGGAGTTTCTGCCCTTCTTGAAACCTTGCAGGACGAACTGCTGGAATTGCTTCTTAGCCTGAAGATAGAGTTTAGGGCGATCACCAAGGAATGTGAAGGTATTTTGGTGTGGTGCTCACAGTGAGGCGCTTTGATGTTTCTCACGTCACAGCAGAATGGTCTCACCACAGAGCTGCCACTGGGTGCAGAACCACTGGGCATACCTTCCTTTGTGTGGTGAACCTAGGAGCACTGTGCTGGTCCACTGATCAGATGAAGAGCAAACAGGAAGAAACACAGCATTTTTTCATCCTCTGCTTAGAAAGTTCAAACCCTGAAATGCTTTCGGGATTTTTTTTAGGGATTTTTTTTTTTTTTTTTTCTACAAATGCCTGGATGCCTTTTGGGCTGCAGATTTTGAATTAGGTGCCTTTAATGTTTTAAACAGTTTACTTAAATCCTGTTTTAGATGCCTGACCTGAAGCTTTACCCACAGCACACATTTCTGTGTATGAGTGGAAGTCTGTGCCCTACTGGAGCACTTTTGAGGCCTCTATGGCCCTGCACAGGTGTAGGAATTTGTGTACACGGATTTGTTGGCTGGATCTGGATACAGAGTTCATTGTGGGAAACCTTATGTAGGAAGAAATGCAGATAAATTTTTTTTTCCCCCCTTCTTTCGATATCAAAGCATAAATCTGTGTCCTTTTAAAGACTGAGTCTTGAAAATTCAGTTGCTTGGGAAGCTTCTCCAGTCAGTTTGTGTAGAACATGAGCCTTCATTTTGAGGAATGTCATGCCTCTACGTATAAAGAGCTGGGTAATACAGAAGAGGCCTTGCTGGTACGCAGAGTATGCAATTGAAGGTTTACTGGGCTGTCAGCACAGGTAGCTGCGTCTTTGCAAAATTGCATCATCGTGAACACAACAGAGACTTGCTGGCTTTAGCAGATATCACTGGGGATTTGGGCAGCAGGGGTGAAAAAATGGTGTCGGTGGAGAAATGGTGTTGGTGGGTTTGCTCTGGAAGCTGGGATGTGGTGGTGCTTGTCTCTGAGTCCCACATGTGAGAGGACAGGCAGTTGGAAGATGGAGAGCCTCACAAAGACAGTGAAGAGTTTGAGGAAAGGGCATGGTAGAGAAAGCAGGAGTGCATGTATCATAAGCAGTGGGAATTTGTGGTTGTGTGGTGGTCAGGTGGATGGCGAAAGCAGGAAATAGAGAAAACTAATGCCAGTTCCTCCAGTGGTTGGAGGTGAACTGACACTTCAAGCTCATTGGGTTCCAGTTGATCTGAGGCCAGTACGTGTGGTAATAAAACCTTCACAAGCATAGTCATAAACAGTGCCTTGGCTTTTCTCCGAAACCTGGACAGTGAGCACTAGCTTCTGATGGGCCTCATCAGAGGAGGGAGGCCATGAGTTTCCACTAATCTGGAATGACTCTGCCTCCTCCCAGAAAATCTCCAGAGAGCTGATACAATTTTGCTACAAATTTCTGGGTGGTGTGGTTTTGTGTAAGTTATGGGAGTGTACTGTAGTTGTAAACTGAAAAGATCAAATGAGCAAATGAGCAAGTAATGGACAACGTAAGTACTGAGACACCAGAAGTTAGAGTTCAACAAGAACTGTGAACTGAAAATAATGCTGAAGATGACAGCATGTTTAGGAGAGATTTGTAATGAGTTGGCTGTGTGTGTTGGGATGGAATTTGGGCAGGAATAAATCTTTAGTAATGATTGCATGAAACCTTGTTTCTTCTCTATTCTTGGTTCTCTGGCCTAGCAGAAGTTGATCACATCAGGCAAGCAACGTTTTGAAACAGATTGTTTGCTACAAATGACTGTTGCAACTTTGTGTTTTTTATCCCCATAAAGACTTACTTAAATGTTAGTTGGTATTATTTCGAAAAGCTGATGATTCTTATGGAAATGTTGGGCAAAATCTTCATGTTTTTTTTCTAGGCCTATTGTGAAGGTAGCAGTGAAGCTGGGAGATTCCCATCACTGAAAAATGGCTGGGGGATAGGAGAACTGCTGAAGTCTGTGTTGTCCGCTTGCACAGAAAACATTAGTTTTCTTGCTGGTTCAGTATTTATGAAGCTAGTTGTCTTTAAGTGCAAGTTTACATTAGATCTTGTTTTACCCAACTAGGTTTGCCTTATCCTGGTAACAGTGCTTGTATGTAAAGAGAAAAAGAGTATGAAAAGAGAGTGGAGTTTTGAATCTAGTTAGCATTTTGACTTTGTAGTACTGATTGGCTCTTTTGGTAAGAGTGCAAGTGTTACATGTTGAAGGAGAGCAGACATTCGGTTGACAGACTTTGACTTTTGGCAGTTTTTGAGAACTGGTGATATTTTAAATATAAAAGCAAATTGGTACATTGTCATGTGGCAGGTGTATATTCTAAATATTCACACATCTGAAGTTTGAAAACTCATGGTGTTATACTCTGGAAGCAGTGTACATTGTTGACTTCAGTTCCTGAAGTGGACTAAAAGTAACTTTCTCTTGGCTGTCGTGTACTCTTTTCAGTATATGAAGGGGGATGTATCAGAAGTGAAGGGTTTCACATTGCTAGCTGCCTACCTTGAACTTCATCTTCTTCACCTTTCTTGATTTGAGAACATTGCATCCCCTGCTACTCCAAGAAAAAACTTGAATGTGAACTTGCTTAGGCTTTGACTTTTTGTTGTTCCCCATGTAAGATAATAAGAAAATCATGTTTCCATATCACTTTATCACAGCTTTTTCTATTCTCTCTGTATTTCTGGGTTTTTGACAAATGGTCTGGGATAGTCAAGAGATTGGCCTCCTCGTACTGAATCATGAATGTTTGGTGTTCTGGAGTAGTAGTTGTTGAATGCCAAGTGATGGACTCTGAATGATACTTAGGCTGTCTTCAGGCCAAGAGATGTTCCCTGTTCAATTTCATATGCCCAGAATTTCAGCTTTTCCTGTGATGAGTATTGCACAGGCAGAGGCAACCTTCTTAGCGTAATACTTATAACTTAAATAACCTTTCTTCTTTACCTTCTACAGACAGTGTGACTGATGAGAGTTAAAGGCCATGGATGAAGATGGGCTTGAATTGCAGCCGCATGAGCCAAATGCGTTTTTTGATCCAACAGGTCTGTCAGGAGATAATATGTAAATAAGAATGTACACATCAGATGCTATTGACTGCTTTTAGTTCATGTTGTCTTTGCTTAAAGGTTCTATGCTTCATCAACGCTTTTGTAGAGTCATCACTTCAGATTTTCATCAGCTTTTGTTACTCAAAGCAGTACAAATGAGCCACTCTTCTGTGAAGTAATAGTTATTTGGATTGGGGGAGATCCTAAAATCTGGTAACCTTTTGTTCATCACGTTGTTCACCTTAGTCATGTTACCATCTACTGAGGATTTGCTTTATCAGCTCCTGTATATCTGTCTGCCTGTTTTAATTGCTTGTAAGCTATCATGATGGTTTTGCTAAATGGCTACGTAGTGTAAAAGCTGAAGCAAAATAGAAATGATTTCAATATTAACTGCTTCATCTGAGTTAGTTTTACAATGTAAATGTTATTTTAATTGTATTTTTCAGGAGCAGATGCCACACATATGGATGGAGATCAGATTGTTGTGGAAGTACAGGAAACAGTATTTGTTTCAGATGTAGTCGACTCAGATATAACTGTGCATAACTTTGTTCCTGACGATCCAGATTCTGTAGTAATCCAAGATGTCATTGAGGATGTTGTTATTGAGGATGTTCAGTGCCCAGATATTATGGAGGAGCCAGACGTACCTGAAACTGTCATTATTCCTGAACAAGTGCTGGACACAGACGTGGCTGAAGAGGTTTCTTTGGCTCATTGCACTGTTCCAGATGATGTTTTGGCTTCAGACATAACAGCAGAAGCAATGTCTATACCAGAACATGTACTGACGAGCGAGTCAATGCATGTACCTGAAGTTGGACATGTAGAACATGTAGTTCATGATAATGTTGAAGAAGCAGATATTGTCACTGATACTCTGGGAACAGATGTTGTTTCTGAAGAAGTCTTGGTGGCAGACTGCGCATCGGAAGCAGTGATCGACGCCAATGGGATCCCTGTGGAACATCAAGATGAGAAGGGCAACTGTGAAGATTACCTGATGATTTCTCGTAAGTGTCTGGGTAAAGTCATCAACATTGTTATGATGTGGGCTTGGTTGATGCTCGAAATATCTAAATGAAGGCTTACAGCAGAACCAAAACCAGATTTTCTCTATTATTTAACAAATTGCAGGTCTCACTAACGTGCTTAAATTGAGCTATCTTTAGGAATGTGTACTAGCTAAAACTTCTGGTGAAATTAATGGAGAGAACAACTGGCAAATGGATGACTGATTATAGATATGAACAGTAGAGTAAGAATTCCAGTAAACTGTATGCCATATACTTAGTAAGAAGTGAAAGAAAATAAGTGTGACATTACTTGGACAACCATTTATGTACCAGTTACTAAGATTACTGCCAAGTCAATAAGAAAACCTAAAACTTATGTAATGGAAAAGAGAGAGTCAGAAAAATGATTTTTAGAAGCTTGAAACACCAATTTATCCTTGTCTTTTTATTGTTGTGAAGACCTCTCCTTCTACTTCATTTACGGGTAGATACAAGCAACAGTGTATTTTTCTTTGCTTTTGAGGATGTGGTCTTTTCTTTATTAAGCACAGGACAGAGGTGTGCTGCTAATTAAAAGAGCTGAGAAGCAGTTGTGAATATCTTAGTCTTCGGTAGAACAGTGGCACAATCCATTGGATTCACATTTCAGAAGGCTTAGAAAGTGGGCAAACACAGTGTATTATCGGTCTTTTTTCTACTGAGGATATCCATTAGTGTGGAGCAGAGCCTGTTCTGTTACCTGTTGCCATGTTCACTTAGTGCAGCACCTAGAAACATCAGTGTCGCTACTGAATGTGTTCTTCCTAGAAATAGAAAAGCTTTGTTAGGCTGATACATTTAATTGCAACTCCAAGCACTTCACTTTTAGCCAGCAGTCAGTAACTCTGTTGATGAGGCATGCTTTTTGCTCTCCTTCAGTTACCTTTTTTTTTCCTTGTTTTTCTTTTGCTTTGGGTGCTTCCTTTGACATGTGTGATAATTTGTTTTAATTTTATATTCTGTGCTTTCGGATTTTAATGCTGTTTCTCCTTACCTAGGATCACTGCATTTCTTAAATTATCTTCTCTTGAGTTTCTTGAGTAACCTTGTGCAGCCATGTTTTGAGTTTATATGAGGTATGGTTAATTCTCTGTTATCTGAGAAAAACAATGACATGGGCTAATGCAATATATGGATAATACAAAATATTGTAAAGTTAAGCTGCAGGGACGTACCGAAGTGGAGAGAGGAGGGATTAGGAATGCTGCTCCCTGAAATACTGTGTATCCAAACAGATAAATTCTCTCTGTACAGTATGCTGCATATAGAGCTTTCCAGTTCTGGTCCCCACTTAGGTCAGATGAAATTAAGCTTAAATGCTTCTGCACCTGCAGCATAGTTAGGCAGCAAAGTGGATAACCCATCCATGGAATTGAGACCTGACCTTAAGGGCCCTGCTGGTGATAGTTGTGTGTTTCGTATCCTCTACTCTTGTTCTTCCAAATGTTGTCTCACTTTCTTCTCTGCAAACCTTTTCCCTACAGCTTGGACAGCTGTGAAACCTTTGAGGTTGCAAGCACAGAAACACTTGGCATACCATTGTCTGCATTCATTTAAGGGGGAGGGGTGGATAGAGACGTCTCCCATTCAGCCGTTTCTGGTGTAATGGAGTAGAGGGTTGATGGTTGAGGGATGAGGACAGAAAGTATTCCTTGATGCCATGTAGTGCAAGCCCTAAAATACCCGCCCAGCTGGGAAGCCTGTTAGATACAGGTGTCCTCAGCAGCTCATACCTGATAGAAGACAGGAATCTGATTTCTGTGCTCAGATAGTCTCCATTTTCAGTCACGTGCTTCTCCATATGTATTTCTATGCTTTCTTACTTTATTTAGTATTAAACGCTCCCTTAGTGTCTTGCAAAGTAGTTTCTTTGGATTCGGAACCAGGCAGCATTTAAAATGTTTGTTTTTGTTACCAAACACGTATCTTCTGTATTTGTGTTTAAAATGTTAAATATGTACTACAGCTCATTTTAAAGGGAAGTTCCCTGTTACCACCTACTGTGTTTAAAGCCTGCATAACAAGTTCTTCTGGTTGCAGAGTCAGGCTAGTGCTTTCCCGTCAAGTAAAGGCAATCTTTCCAAATAGTCTCTTCGCTGTGTGGAAAACATTATCTTGAATTCATTTCCTTTTTTTTTCTTTTTGCATCAGCAGTTATGTGTGTTTATTGATCTTTTCTGATGACTGTCTCTGTTCTTCAGCTGTAGGTGGTTTTTAAAAGGAAGTAAAATCAGCCCTGGTTTTTATTTATTCGTCTTAACCTGTAAGCTCATGCTTGATTTTGGCAAACCTCCTTGAGCTGCTGGGGTGGATGCTGGAATATCATTTTGTCGGCCATTACAACAGCCAAATGCAGCTGCTTCTCAGAGCTAGAAGGCAGATGTTAGGGGTGGTTTTGTCCATATTCTTTTATCTGGCTGCCTGTAAAGCGGGTGGTGACACTTTGGGTTCTTTCTGTGGCCATAGGTTTCACAGAAGATCACAGATCAAACCTTTTTGCTATCTTTTTCCTATCTTTTGGCTCCCTTGAAATGTTTGCATTCTTGTTCCTGATGAACAAGAGCCTATACTGATTTATTTTCTTTTCAAATAAGATAATTTCTTCACTTTTATCCTGAAAATACTAGTTTCAGAATGACTAATGTACATGTACTTCAGTGTTTGTGTCTTTGCCTTCTTTTTTGGTTTCATGCTGTTTGGTATCTTAAGTGAGTGTAGTCCCTGTGGGTTCCATTGAGTGACTTTCTTTCAATAAACTAAGTTTTTTTTCACCTCCAAGATCATGTTCCTTGGCACAGCTTCTATTATCACTTGTTGATTGATATATTCACCTTTTTTTCTTGGATATTTTGCCCTGAAGCCTTCTTTTTTGGTCTGTAGTAGATTTGAGACACAGGAGGGCTGAGTCAGGTATATGCTCATTCATCAGAGAATGCAAACTGCTACTAATTAGTAGCTTGAAAAGGATTCAGGAAGGTTTGATAAATCAGTTGTTCTCTCATGTAAGGCTTAAGTCAGTTCATAGGGATTGCCCATAAAGTTTGATCAGGAAAGGATAAATTGTGTTCTGACTCACACTGATCCGCTTTGTTTGGTTGTGATTCTGAAGGCCTGAAAAATCAGCTCTCCTCGTGTAAAGCAGTAATGGTGAGATAGGTGGTAGTTAGCAAAACCAAAAAAAAAAACAACAACCAGCATTTGCTGACAAAGGAGAGTTGTACTGTATTAAAGAAACCAAGGTTTTTGCTTGTTTGATTGTATTTATTTGTTTTTAACAGTTTGGCAAAGTAAGATGCTTGAACTAGTTCCAAAAGAGAAATACTCTGGTATTCTTGTATTTAATTGCAATAAAAACAGTGAGGCACCAAGGGGCTTTGATCAGAGGAGTGTGGGGAGAGGGAAGGGTCACCTTGCAAATTTAATTTGGCCTTTTAGAAAGTTAAGTGATGTATCCAAATGCAGGGAATATGTCCTTTGACCGAGTGAGATGCGTCTTTGCATGCTGTATCTAACTAACGAACGCGTTTCATCACAGGAGTCAGAATCCAGGGTGCTCAAAGAGGTGCAGTAATGACTGTGACTACTTTTTTTGTAGGATTAGGGGAAGCACATGTGTTCTCATCCATGAATAACATGCCTAGGTTGAAAGGAATGGATCTTATACACAAAGCCATAATGTTCGTGCCTTCACTGCTGCCATACCGTGGTTGACTTCTAGTTGACTGCTGCCATACAGTAGACTTCTAATCAAGAAAACAAGATGTTTTGGTTTGCTTTTCTGGTGTAACTAGTGTAAATAGGTACCTCTCCTCCTCACCTTTTTTTTCCCCTGAGGCTCTTAAAGATTCAGGAAATCCTTTTTCTTTCTGCGAGGCAGAACTTATTGCCATGTGTTCTGCTCGGCCTTCAGAAGGGCCCCAGCAGTTGTTGCAGATGGGCTGCTCGGGAGGTCGCCGTGAGAGGGAGGGAGAGTTCCCTCTGTCCGGGCGTTGCCTCGGAGCTCTCTCTGTTTTGTGGTCTGGGGAGCAGAACCGGAAGGGTGAGTGAGAGTTAGATGCTACGGAAATGCTCCTTGATTGCTGCCCTGAGGGGAGCTTCAGACTCTTCAGGGTATGCTGTTGCTCGTGTGTAATGGGAAGGCATTGAAATGAAAATAGAGCAGATTTCTCTTTTCCCACAGGTTAGGAAACCTACTTTGCCATTAAAGAAATAACTGGATGGTAAAAATAACTGAAGTGGGCTAGGAATTCTTTGTTATCAAGCGAGGTACAAGTGAAATGTTTGTACTACAGATAACTGAGCACTCTGTCTGAGGAATGCAGCGTGCTTTTAATTATTTCAGAAAAAGCAAGAGAGTAAACTGCGTCCTTTGTCATTAAGAATAGGTAAATAGGGTAGTTTCTTTTGTGTATTGGAATATCACTACTCCTGTTTTTTTCTAGCATGTGACTTAAGTTTAATAACAACCCGTTGTGTCTCCTTGAAAAGAAGTGGTCTCTATAAGCTAAAATGATGATTTTAAGGTTGGTCAGGTTGGCTTTTTTTGTGTGTTTTTTTGTAATTTCAAGGAGGAAGATGTGTGGGATCCTTTAATGGACTGTGAGTTTGAATGAAAACTGGATGTCACCAGAGCTTCAGTTTCTAATGTTGATCAGTCAAGTAGTTATGAATATGAATATTTTTTTCTGATTGCGGGGCTGAGATATGTGGCAAATGTAGAACCGTAAGGAAAGCGTTAAATAGAAATCAGATTTCATGAATGCTACCAGAGAGTTAAAGAATCTGTATAGATAAGTGCTTATGTGTATCCATAGGACAAAATACTGTGGAAGTGGTGCTTTGTGGGATAGATACCCCTTCTCTTTTGCCTTATTTCTCTCTCCCTATTTTCTATTCCATTTTCTTTCCATGCTGCTTTTCTTCATGTTTCCTGTTTATTATTATACTGCAAATACTATTACTTTTTCAGGTCCTTCAAGGACTTAGTTTTTCACTTCTTACCTTGTGTCGGAGTGATTATTTTTTTTTCCCTTTTGTATGAGAAGAGTTGGCATTGTACTTCTACAAATCAATTTCATTACATTTGAATGGGGCTGTTAAACAGTACTTTGATTGAGAGACCGGGGAATGTTCAGCATGAAGACTAAGGGGATCTTATCAATGCTTATCAATATCTGAAGGGCAGATATCAAGAGAGTGGGGCCGAGGTTTTTTTCAGTGGTGCCTAGTGACAGTACAAGGGGCAGTGGGCACAAACTGGAATGCACAAAGGTCCATCTGAACACGAGGAAGATTTTCCTTACTGTGAGAGTGACAGAGCACTGGAACAGGCTGCCCAGGGAGGTGGTGGAGTCTCCTCTGGAGGTGCTCCAGTGCTGCCTGTAAACTTTCCTGTGCAACCTGCTGTAGGGAGCCTGCTTTAGCAGAAGGCTGTGCCAGGTGATCTCTAGATGTCCCTTCCAACCCATACAGTTCTGTGCTTTTAAAAATACTGTTGGGTATGGAGCGAAGTCAGGGATAAACAAAATAGAAATTATGTAGGGAACTTTATTTTAATCATGTCGTTTAAACATGCTTTTGAACCTTGGAGAATTTACTTCAAAGAATAAACAGTGTGTGTTTTTAAGGTCCGGAATTCTTCTGTTGTGTAAATGTTATCAGTGGATATTTCTATACATGTTCTGTTTTTGTTGAAAGAAACCAACCTGTTCCGTACAGTGCATGTAGGTTTTTCTCTTTAATTGCTTCAGCTGTAGTTTTCCTTCCTTGATGTTCCAGCATCAGTTGAACTTGGTGGCAGACTTCCCCTTTGGCTTCAGCGATGTAAAATCAGTCTACGCTGATTTGAAAGCCTTCCAAGTACACATGTGTGACACTGGCGACAGCCAAGTTAAAGGAGAGCAACTACCCATATCTAGTAGGGACCAAAGCAAGTCTTCTTTTTGTCAGAGTTGCAGTGAAGTTTGGTGTTTGATGCGCATGCAGAAGAATTGATAAAAGTCCATTCAATAACTGAGTGTGTGTAACTGTAGAGCTACACTGTTAATGATGTGATTCAAATCAACATCTAAGGGTTTTTACTTCTGAAATGCTTTGGGGTTCTGCTGAAAGACATTAAGTAGTCCCTTGCCATCGTTTTTTTTTAACTACTGTGTTATTTGAAAGAGGAACTGTAGAATTGTCACAGATTCTGAACTTAGAATAAGAGTATTAAGATTTTTTTCTGCTGCTGTTCTTGTGAGGAGAGAAGGAAGCTAATTTATTTTAGTGCTCATTAATGCATTTAACTTTATTCGTATTTCTTTTTGAATAATGGTGCCATGTTGAGAAAAAATACTTAAATACCAATCATGTTTGATGCACAAGACAGAATGCATGCTACTTTTATCTAACAAAAACCAGTTCATTGACTTCCTGGATTTTGAGCTGAACTAAATTCCTGAACAACAGTAATAATAACAGTAATGAAAATGATCTTCTGAGCTTATATTTGAGCTCATATTTTTTTAATTTTAAGTAGATTTTCAAGTAGAGAGAAGATATGCAGTCACTGAGTAGTAAAGTTGTGCTGTAGTTATGAGGGTAGTTTTGTGAGTGCCAGTGAAATGAGCACCTGTATTAAAAGTTCTTATGTGCTAAGCATGGTAGCTAAAAATGCTGCAGCAGTTACTGTTCTAATGCATCTTTTTAGTGTATGTCTTATACCTTCATGTTATGAATCAAAGCTACACTCAGCTCTGAGGGAGCTGGATCTTCTTTTAAATGTAGTTAACAGTGAACTCACCAATTTCAAAGGCATGTTGTCACATGAAGAATTCTTAAATAATCTTAACGCTGTGAGAAAGTTGTGGAGCTTTTGGAACTGGAAGATCGTGTAGAGGTTTTGAAATACTAGATTGGATTTTATTAGTGCATACTTAGCATTTTTTCTTGAACACCCATGCTTGGAAAAGTAAGATGGTGTGTGTGTGCCTGTGCCCGTGTAGTGTGTGTCTTAAAATCAGAAATATGTTCCTTAGAAAACTGGCTGCTTGCCATGCTTGTGTGGGAGGCCCAGGCAAGTTGTGGCAGTTCACGCTGGAACTGGGTGTCAGCTCACTTCTGGGAGGGAGAAAAGAAAATTTGAGATGATAGTTAGGAGAGTTTGTAGGACTGCGGTATAAAATCCAGTGCAGGTCCCCTCTGGTAATGGTGCTGTGAGTTGGGTAGGTGCTGCAGCGTGAGGGCGGTGCTTTGAAACTGTGAGTGGATGAGAAAAGGTGCAGCAGAAAAAGCGGTAATAACACCACCGTGCAAGAAACCAGACTGAACTTGCAGAAATAATGGCACTTACATTAGAGGGAGTGGAGCAGCAGATAATGCTGTGGAAAATAAATGGTTAACAGCTTATTAGATGCAAAGGGGAAAGCACTGAAACTGAGAATAAGTAAAATTACACCACAGAGTTAAGTACTGACGTGCTGTTCCTTGCTACCACCATCTTGCTGCAGATCACCATTTCCCTAGTAGTGTTGCCGGGTGTGGTGCTCATGCTTCTAGGCATGCAATACACTTGCACTTTCCCCTTAACTAGGAGATGTGGCTTGAATTTATTTGCTTATTGACATTGATTTCAAGGATATGAAAAAGAATTACGTACTGGTAGGTTATTTTTCACAATGTAATTTTGAACCGCTTCCAAATTTGAGAAATAAAATTTTTCATAAATCTGTCTGTATATGGCTGGATAATTTTAATAACTTGTTTTTGTAGTGGATGATGCTGGTAAGATAGAACATGAAGGTTCTGCTGAAATTACCATGGAAGCAGAGTCAGAAAGTGGATCTTGTAAAGTGGATGGCATTTGTCCAGAAGTCATCAAGGTCTATATATTCAAAGCAGACCCTGGAGAAGATGATTTAGGTAAAAAATGCTCATTTTAGAATACTCCAACCTGACATGTGAAATTTTGCATAACTAGAGACGATGGTTTCTCTCAAGTCAGCTGTAAGGAGCTGTGGGTCTAAATGTGAAAGAGTTGCAAACTTTCAGTTTTCTGCAGTTTAGAATAGAATTCGAACAAAATGTATTAAAATATTTTGTCCTGGTCTTCCTAATTAGGGGGCACAGTAGACGTTGTGGAAAGCGAGCCAGAAAATGATCATGCAGTTGGCTTACTTGATCAAAATAGCAGTATTCGTATTCCAAGGGAGAAAATGGTTTACATGACCGTAAATGATTCTCAGCACGAAGACGAAGATTTAAGTAAGTAGGTGGCTTTCATTTGGGAACAGGGATTTTCACTTTCAGCAGTGCAGTTCTTATTAATTTTTTTCTTGATTTCTGTTTCTCTTAGATGTTGCAGAAATAGCCGATGAGGTTTATATGGAAGTGATAGTAGGAGAGGAAGATGCAGCAGTCGCCCATGAACAGCAAATTGATGACAATGAGATTAAAACTTTCATGCCAATAGCATGGGCAGCAGCTTATGGTAAGTAATATTCACAGAATTCTTCCTGGTGAGAAAATACTGGGTTGGTTTTTGGAGGGCAGTGGATTGTCTGTGCTTTTGTGCTTGGTTTAGTCTAAGAATCGTTTCTGAGCATAATGAGGCTTAAAATTAAGAGAAGAAGAGAGAAGCTGTGAAACAGGCTTCTTTCTGTTCCTTTTTTATCAGACCTTTTCCTTCATGTTGTCATGATGTGGAAGGGGAAGTGCACAACCTTTCAGTTGAAAAAATTGCATCTCAAGTACACTTGTCTTTCACAGTTTTAGTATACTTTGATTGGGAATAGGACTCTGGGTATTTTTATTTGGAAGAGAAAAAAGCAGATGGGAATATATAGGATTCAGTGTAACTGTGAAGAGCATTCCTGGCCTCTAGCTTGGTTTGAGTGTTTTCTGGAAGGAACATATAAATACGTGATTTCACAAATGGAAATAACTAATTAACAAAAAAGATGCTGGAGGGACGCATCTTTAAATTATAACAGAACCTTGAGAATATTTATTGAACATTAGTATCTGAGCACCAGCTGGTGCTTAAACTGATGTCCAAAACTTACATAGGCTATTAGAGCAAAATCTCATCTTAGGCATTCTTCTTTATTGCTCTCATCCTCCTCCTGAACATACTTTGAGTAAACAAAGCAGAAGAAATAGTGGAGTTGAGGGCAAAACTTAGGAGATGTGTCTGCGTGATGTGAATTTTGGTGATGGTGTCATAATCTAATGACAGGGAAGCGCTGAGAGTGCAGCACATGGCTGGAATCGTGGATGTAAGTCTAGTGAGGGCAAGATCTCAGGGAGCAGTGTGTGGTGAAAAGTGCTTAGGAGGTGGATGGTAACGCACCCACAGCCTTACCTTTGGCTGAATGTAGTTGAGCATAGTTTCAGTGCAGAGGAAAGGACGGACGTCTGGCTGAGCGGGAATTCAAAATGAAACGAAATGAACTTGAAAACAGTTGTAGAAGGAATGCTTAGTGATTGTGGAGAAGGAGGATAAAATTGAGCAGACTGCTAAGAACACAGAGATGGAGTTTAAAGTGGAGTTAAGAACATAGGAAACAGTAGAGCGACTGTGTCAGCAGCAGCAGCAAGCAGCCTAGCATGCAACTTGAGAGGTGGTGGGGAAGGGAAGAAATAATGAAGTATGAAGGCGTGAGAATGGCTGAGGTTTGTCATTTGCACTTTGCAGAGCTCTTCTCCACTTCAGGATGTATTAAAAGTTGATGACAAATGGGATCTTACAGTGGCAAACCTGTTTCATTGCTGTATCATAGCAAAGCCCCATTCTTCTATGTGTTCTATTCCAAAAACTCTTCACCTCTATTTTAGTATTAGAACATGTTTAAGGCTTTCTTTTTTTTGTGTTACCATCTAGAAGGACTCTTCATACACCTATTGCAAATTGTACTATCTGTGTGTAAGATGTGAAATTTTTTTTATTTTCAACATTTACATCACTTGCCGTGTTTGCTGTTCACCACTTGGGCTAGCAGATAGATCAGAATCTTCAGGCTCTGCCCAGAGCTGTTACTGGTTCTGATTCTTTTTGCATTCAAGCATGAATGTTCATTCACAGCACTCTACAAAGAGAACAGCTATTGAGCATCTTACACTGTCTCCCACGTTAGTCTTTCACGTGCTCTTCTTTTAAACACAAAGCTCTGTGAGGAAAAGGTTGTTTTCTGTGTGTTACACATGCTCTCTGTTTCCAGTAGGAATAGTTTGTGTTAAAATAGAGGCGTACGAAGAATGTACACACTTCACATGTGAGTTTGTGGGCTGTTCAGAACAATTGGCTGATCACAGTTCCTGTTTTGAAACTTAGTTTGGGATCTTCAGTGAGGTGAATTCGGATGCCCAGAAGTGAATGAGAGCAGATGTGGATGTATTTCAGGACTGCTGAAGACCATCAGGCGCAGTAAACATTGTGACCTGTTTTTGTTTACTGATATTAAACGTCTGGGGTGTAATTAGAAGGCAAAGAAATGCAAAAAAAAAAGTGCACTTAAACTCTTTGTGAAATGGAAAGCTATTTACTCCTGTAAATTGTGTACTCCTGTAAAATTAGTTCTATGGAGCCAGGGCTTCCAGGTTGATATCACTGTATCAAGAATAGTTCATCAGTTAGCTACAGAGTGGTTTTTTAACTCATCCTGTACGTTAGAATGCTTTAATTAAATGTCAAAACAATAGCTTATCTTTTTTTTTTTTTTTTTTTTTTTTTTTTTTTTCTAAGTAGCATTAAAGAGTTTGTTGCTCAAATAATCTGTGGTGTGGTGACAGGAGGTAACTTTTAAACCTGCTTTGTTAGGTAATAATAACGATGGCATTGAAAGTCGGAATGGCACTGCAAGTGCTCTTTTGCACATAGATGAGTCAGCGGGACTTGGGAGACTGGCAAAGCAAAAACCAAAGAAGAAGAGGAGACCTGAGTCCAGGCAGTATCAAACAGGTAAGTCGTGGCTGTCAGCGTGCTTGCCTGTAAACAAGTGCTTTGCTGATAGGATGTGTAATGCCTTTTAAAAAAGAGTACTTAGAGAGTTGTTTTGTTGGCAATGCTTCTAGATCATGGAAGTGTGCAAATTTTCTTTTGAAGTTTTTTAATAAAACAGTATTGGAGCAAAAAGTTAAAAAAAAGAAAAGATGAACTTAACTTGCTACGCTGATTTTAATGTGTATTGAAATTAACTTTTTTTAAAGATAAGGTCAGATTGATAAGCAGTACTCAGTAATAGTACTTTTAAAAAACCTTTTTGTCTTCATTGAAATTATACAGAACAATACACTTTGTTACACCAGCTCAGCTAGTAACTGGTAAATATGAACATTGTATTTTTTGGTAGATAGCTTTAATAGATGCCCTTTTCTTTTTTAATTGTGAAGTAAATTGCCTCAGTGTTTATTGCAGTGTTCTTATTTGCATCTGTAAGAACAAATATACTATTTTGGTGTTATTTGGTTTCTGCTACTACTGTGTTACATTTTGAAGGGCTTATTTGGTCTGATAAAGTTGAAAAGGAACACAACTTTTCTTTAGTAGTCCTGCCTTAAATAATACTGGAAGTTTCTTTCCAAATCATGACTTAACTGTAGGAGTTCTGTTTTGTCTGTCTCTGAATAAGTAAACCCAGCAAGTCTTAATTTTCAAGTTGGCTTTTTCTATTTCCAGCTGCGTACTCTGTTCTCCTAAAACATTTTTGGATAAGAGAGTTTTTTAGCATGCCTAGACAAATTCAGGATAAACAAATCAGACTGATGGGCAAACAAGTTCCAAAGCTTTGAGGTGTCTCTGTGTGAAACGTGTTCTCATTGATCCCTGCTTGGTACCTCTTCAGATTATAACTGCCAGATGGCACAAGAAGGAGGTGTTAGTTTGGGGACATAGGAATGGTAGTCAATGGGAGGTGGCCAAACTGCCAAATCTGCAGACTGATGAAAGGTCAAAGAAGATGGTGTGATAGGCTTACCATGTAACGCTGAGCGAGCTGCCTTCTGTGTGTGTTCAGTGTGTGACCTCAGAATTACTTGAGCTGATGAGCAGTTGGATGATGCTTTGGTTATCTCCATCTGAAATTAGTATTTCCTTTCTCCTGATGATGATAATAGATGAAAATGCTAATTCTCTCCATTTCTTCTACTTAGCCCAGTATAACAAGCCTGGCTATTACATAGCAAAGCATGTGTGTCTAACTCGATCTTACTTAGCAATTCAGCTTGGTGTTAAGGTTGAAAGGAAAGAATGGAATGAAGTATAGAGTTGTTGAAAGGGTTTTCTTTGTTGTTTTTCAGCAATAATCATTGGCCCCGATGGTCATCCACTGACAGTCTATCCCTGCATGATTTGTGGAAAGAAATTTAAATCTAGAGGTTTCTTGAAAAGGCACATGAAAAACCACCCGGAGCACCTTCTTACTAAGAAAAAGTACAGATGCACAGACTGCGATTACACTACGAATAAAAAAATAAGTTTACATAACCACTTGGAGAGTCATAAGCTGACCAACAAAACAGAAAAGCTTATTGAGCGTGATGAGTGTGGGAAAAGCTTCTCTCACGCGGGAGCGTTATTTGCGCACAAGATGGTGCACAGGGACAAAGGAGTGAATAAAATGCACAAGTGCAAATTCTGCGACTATGAGACAGCAGAACAAGGATTGCTAAGTCATCACCTTTTAGCTGTTCACAGCAAGAACTTTCCTCATATTTGCGTGGAGTGTGGCAAGGGATTTCGTCATCCGTCGGAGCTGAAGAAGCACATGCGAATCCACACTGGTGAGAAACCCTACCAGTGCCAATATTGTGAATACCGATCTGCCGACTCTTCTAACTTGAAAACTCATGTAAAGACTAAGCATAGCAAGGAGACGTCGTCCAAGTGTGATATTTGTTTCCAGACTTTTTCAGATACCAAAGAGCTGCAGCAGCATACACTTATGCATCAAGAGAGCAAAACACATCAGTGTTTGCATTGTGACCATAAGAGCTCAAACTCGAGTGATCTGAAACGACATATAATTTCAGTCCACACAAAAGACTATCCCCATAAGTGTGATATGTGTGATAAAGGCTTTCACCGGCCTTCGGAACTGAAAAAACACGTGGCGGCTCACAAGGGTAAAAAATTGCACCAGTGCAGACATTGTGACTTTAAGATTGCGGATCCATTTATTCTGAGTCGCCACATACTCTCAGTTCACACAAAGGATCTTCCATTCAGGTGCAAGAGATGTAGGAAGGGCTTTAGGCAACAAAATGAGCTGAAAAAACACATGAAAACACACAGTGGCAGGAAAGTTTATCAATGCGAGTACTGCGAGTATAGCACTACAGACGCCTCAGGCTTCAAACGGCATGTTATTTCCATTCATACAAAAGACTACCCTCACCGATGTGAGTATTGCAAGAAGGGTTTCCGAAGGCCTTCAGAGAAGAACCAGCACATTATGCGGCATCATAAAGATGTTGGGCTGCCTTAAAGTCTCTTTCACAGACTTACGGCTGGAATTGCAAAGGAATTTTGCCTTTCGGGCAGTTAGCTTATTTTAAAGCCAATCACCTGCGATCACACACACACACACACACAAACACACAAAGAAAAAACCCAACAAAAAAATACCCCCATACTGTGCATTTGATTTGTTGCTGTATAAAAATAGGATTCTTGCTTCTAGTTGACTTTTATACTTTTGTTCAATAGCGTGTTCTGAATTCTATTCAGTTTGTTTAATAAATGAAGAAAAGATGGCAACAATAAAGTTGCATTTAATAAAGTAAACCCTGTCTCTTAATGAATTTTTCAGGCGTAATAGTTTAAGTATATTTATCTTACTGACCTCGTTGATACTCACAGTGTCCATGTTAATGCAGTTCTGTTGTGAATTTTAAAACTATGAAATTTCTCTTGCTGAAATTGTCAGAGGTGTGTATGAAATGGGGAATTGTAATGCTAAAGTCACTAGGGCCCACCTGATTGTCTTGTTCTGACTATACAGACTTTGTGGCAAGTTAACTGTGCTGCCTTTAAGGAGTTACACGTCTCACTTTATTGCGGGAAGACTTCTGCGTTTTAATTCAGATTTCAAAGATAAGATTTTAAAATGGTTTGGGGCGTTTTTGGTTTTTTGTTTTAATCTTTGACAAATTTAGACGTATGCTCAAACATGCTTATTGTTCTGTGCTTCTTTGTCTTGGAGAGGTTTTGCGTGTTACGGAGGAGTTGTTTTTTCCTTTCAGTTTGCTGTTGGCTTGGTATTGGAAACATGACATGCTGTTGTTCCATTTGCAGAGTTAATAGGTCGCAACTGTCTGCACGTGCCGGTAAATGTACCTCAGTTGTAATGGTTTTCTGTGTATTAGCATTTCTTTGGAAGAACGGTGTGTTGTTCGAGTCACGTTTCTATTCTCAGTTGACTTAGAATAAAATGTAAGATCAGGAGGTGCCTTGATTTTGGAAATGAGATGCTGACATTGAGAGCTTCCAAGGGGTCGGAACGGGGCAGTTGCGTTCATAAGGAGTAGAGGTGTTTTCATGTAGCTATGCTTCATCAGAACAGTAATGTAGGGTAGTAGCAGAACTGTTTGTAAATTGAATGTTTTTCCTGAGCCATTAGCAGCTGTGTTGAGCTGCTGCTTATTAATGAGTACAGCATCCAGAATTAACCCAGTTCTTGTAATCTGTTTATAAACAGCTGGGAGAACATTACAATTATTGTATGCAGTTTTGCCACCTGAAGACTATTACAAAGCAGTGCTGTATCATTTGCTAATTGCAGAGTAAATAAGTGTACAAAGTGTGAAGTCATGTACGTTAACAACAACTGTTGGGCAAAAATGGAAAAAAAGATTTTGTTCTATGCCAGATTTTAGGGCCCAGACCGACTCCCCTTTCTCAGATCCCCTCCTGAAGTTGCCAGCTGGCTGTGCATCGCAGAATTTGGACCCAATTATTTGGATAGAATAGGAATTTGGATAGATTTGGAACCAACCATTCACTAACTATTGGCAAAGATTCAAAGCCCATCCCAATTCTTTCCCTTGTTTGTAGGCAGGTGAGCGTCCTGTTAAACAGGAATTTCAGTAACCATTTCAATTTGGGGGCCATAAAGGGACAAAGGTTTCCTCTCAGATGCGCACCTTCTAAACATTCTGTATTTGGTTTTGTTACCAAATCTCTGTGTTTCACAATAAGCTTCAGTACTTGTGTTTATGTCGCTGGTTCAGGAGAGCCTAAAGCCCCGTCCCTGCCTTGTACAGTGCTGCTGCTTTGGATGCTGCCTGCCAGTCCCCCAGGCTTGTGCCGCGCGTAGCCCTGCCGGCGGCTGGCCGTCACCTCAGTGCGTGGCGCTGCTCTGCGCCTTGGCTCAAGTCCCCGCTGCAGTCAGTGGATGCTGTGTGGCTGTAGCTGTCCGCCTGTCGCCTACAGATTGCCAAATCAGATGCGTTACAACACAGCGGAGGTTCTTCGCGCGCGTCTTACGGAGTTCCCTTCTTTGCTGTTGTTGGTTTTTTCCCCCACCCCCTCTTACGTTCAGGCATTTTCGAACTGGAAACCTGAGGAGTGTACAAAATCTGCATAAATTCCCATAGGATTTTAGCCATTTTTGACTTTGTTTTTTTTAAATAAGCTGAAAGACAAAGAACACAATTTTACACATTTGCTTTCTCTTACGTAGCCTGGAATCATACACACACTTTTTTTTTCTTTCTTTTTTTTTTTTTTTTAAAGCACAATGTTGAAACTTTTTTTTTTTAAATAATTGAGGGTTTGGTCAAGTGGATTTTGTAAAATGTATTTGTCTGTATAAAGAGAAAATGAAAATATAGTTATTGTTAATGTACTGACATTAGTTACAGGTTAGTTTTAATTCTTAAATAATTTGCTTAGCAAATGCTATGAATGGATGTTTCAGTTTAATGTTTAAAAAGGTACAGATTTTTACAAGGACATAATATAAATTATTGTTCTGTAGAAAATACCCTGTTAAATATTGTATACGTCCTTCCCTCTGTACACTTTGTAAAAAAGACAAAAGAAAAAAACAAAGTACATAGAATCATATAGGGATGTGTGACATTATTGTAACTGTGTACTTGATAATAACGTGAAAAAATAAAATTCAAAGTATTTTCCTGTTAACAAATGTTCGGTTTATTTGATGCCAGTACTGAGACTGAGGGTTCTGAGGGATGCGTTCCTCTTGAGACCAATTGCACTTCAGCCTGGTTCTCCACTTTCCATTTCTTCAGCTCATTTTATCTGTTAACAGGATGCAAGTGATGGAATCCCTCGTTTGATGCAACGTGCTTACGAGCAGCCTGTGAAAGCAAAAGAAGGAGACAATAGGTCTTCAAAATCCATCTTGGTGTCCGTTTTTATACGGAAGGTTTAATGTCTGTCAAACTTCTTGCAATGTCTTCATCTTTTTCAGTGGTGGCAACTTCTTAAGTGCTTCTACACTGTTATCCCCCCCCACCCCAAAAAAAAAAAAAAAAAAAAAAAAAGCAAATCTTGAGCCCATTGAGGCACTTTGGCACACACTGGGGCAGGAGCTGGTGGCTCTGCTTGGCACCCTCTCCCTTGCCCTTTGCCAAAGCTCCTGGCTGGCTCTCCATTCTGCTGCCTGTGCCCTGGCTCTTCAGCCCGCTGCTGCTCAGTGCTGCCACTGGTAGCAGAGGTGGAGAGAGCTTGTGGCTGCTGAAATGGGTCCTCCCACTCCTCTGTCAGTGCTTAAACTCAACTGAATTAAACAGTGTAATCTGATGGCATCCAACTGCCCCCATTAACCCGATCGCAGAGCTGCTGCAGAGTGCCGCTGCCCTCTTGACCTGTGTGAAACAGGAGGAGGTGAAGTGTGACTGCTAGCTGGCCCAGGTGCCCTCAGGATGTGTTTGCTCTCATCTCGCGCCTTGAGGAAATGCTTGCTTGTTCACTCCCAATCTTGGTGTGTTGAACAGCAAGGCTTGCATGAAGTGGCTCTTCAGATTATGAAGCTGTGGCTCAGCTGCCCACCATCTGCTTTTTCTATTTTCTCTGTCCTCCTCAGCCACTTCTCATGGAGCCAGCAACACTCAGGGCACTGCAGAATACACTCATCTGTGGCTGCAGGGAGTTAGAGGCAGGAGCAGTTGCTGCTTCTCCCACATGTGGACTGGCAAACCCTTCCTTCCTTGCATTTGTTCAGCCATAAAAACTTGGCTGCTTGGCTCTGGAGCTCCCCTGGGCGAGGTGCCCACAGCCACACCAGCAGCAGGGCAGGAAGGTGCCTATCAGGGCTTCCTTGAAAGCCTAACTTGCCATTGGAAAGCCTAATTAGGAAAACTCAAAGCCAGCTGACAGGTCACTGTGTTTCACTGGCTTATTAAAGGTAGTAATTTGAATGACATGACATATAATTAATAGGAAACGGGTGAAGAACTGGTGAAGGTGTGGCTGAGTGGATGTCAGTAAGCAATGGGGCAGCAGCATGGTCTGCAGTGAGGAACTGGAATCACAGATGCCTCATGCTCAGAGTGGCTCAGGGACCACGCAGTGTACTGCTATTTGAGGCATTCACTGGAATTACAGAGGAACTCTGTGCATCTGGAAAAGCATTACCACTCAACTGAAGGCAAAACTCGGTGTGCCATCTTGGCACGAGCCAGGCAAAAAGAGGCAGTAACATGGCCCCCATTTCCCTCTTGCACTGGCACAAATGAAGAACACTGTTAAGGCTGCCAAGGCACTGTTAGGAAAACTGGGGCATGTTGCATCTGATACAGCCCAGGAACACAAGGAATGTGAGGGCTGCATCCATCCAACACAGTGAATCACTCCCTGCAATCACAGGTGTGGAAATTGGGTGGTGCAGCAGGCCAAGTGATCAGCAGAAGCAGAGAGATTAAAGAAATACATGAAACTGAGGATATTTATGTGTATTTATATTTTTTCTTTAAAACTTAATAATGGCATCATTAATACCACTTTGCATATTGATCAGGACCTACTACCAGAGAGCTTTTCCTCAGATGTTAGCCTACTCATTCAATAGCATTGTCCTCTGAAAAGGAGCAATTTCTGGCCGCTGGCAGCAACACTGATACATGACCAGACAGCCCCACGGAGCTCCTTTCCACAGTACCCGAAGCAGTCACCTCACCGGGCAGCTCAACAACAGCACAGCAAAGCTGAGCTGTGCACAGGAAATACGTCAATCTACACTGCAGCACAACAGACCTTTACGCTGCTCACTGTATGCCTTGTGGGCAGCAGCAAGCCAGTGCTGTCTTCCCTAAGAACACAGACCTGCCCCATAATGTGGGGCCTCCTGATGGCTGCTCCCCTGCTGCAGCGGGGCTGTGGGGCCAGCGGGAGGACTGGGACAGTTGGGAAAGCTGAGCGACAGCCCTGTTTCACTAGCTGTCCCTTTGCACAGCTGAGAGCTTCTGAAAAGAGCTGCAGGCAAGCGAATGCGACCTGCTTGGGCATTGGCCCAAGGGATAAGGGAAGATTTCCTTCCTGCTGCAGGAAAATGAGAAGACAGTGGTTAGAAAAGGGAAATCAGCAATTAGGCATCAGCTGCAGTGTGTTTCCTAGCACAACAGACA